ACGGTCATGCCTCGGGGTCGTTCACGACACTGCAGGCCCACAGCCCGGCGAGATCTCGACATCGAAGTCCGCGCCGCGCTGCGCCACCACCGTGATGGCCCATGGCAAGGTCAAGTTGTCCGCGGCGGATTCGATCTCGCACCGAGGCCCCGCGAGGCCTCGCGCTTTCGAGGCGAGAGGGCCGTCGGAGCGAAGTTGCGCGCCGATCCCCGCTACCACGGCGCCAGCCCAAGCACTGCTGCCATGATCGCTATGAATTGTTGGGACTGTCGATGAAGCTCGCAGCCCGCGTAGCGGGCGCGTCTCGCGTCCAATGATCCGAGCATCTAATGATGCGAGCATTCCTAGCGCCAGTCTGGCGCCCCGGTGGCGCTCATAGCTGCTCATGTCCCTGGCAAGTCTCAAATACCACGGGGCAGAGCTGCCTTTTTGGGCGAGGGGCGGGGGCGTGCTCTATTCAACCTTGAGCGCGTCCACGTCGATCACCCTGGCGCATGGTTGGCCCCGCCCCGCATGGATTGGTTGCCAGGCAAAAGCAGCGGCGCCTTGAGAACCGCCGGCCGCGCACGTTGACCCCCCGCCATCTCTGGGCGATGTCGATCCAGCTCCAGTACCACTGATGATAGCAAAGCATCTGCTCGTGCTGCGGCGAAGCGGCGCAATCTGGAAGATCGCCTCGGAGACCGCCCCCTTGCGCGAAGACGCAGCGCGCGGGCACGCGTCGGAGACCGCCCCCTTGCGCGAAGACGCAGCGCGCGGGCGCGTCCACGATCGCGACCAACGGCAAGCCCGAAGGCCCGCGCTATTTTACCACCCGCCCCCTCCGACGCGAAATTAATAGCCGGCGCGCGCGGCGCGGCACCCCGCTAGGTTTCGACGGGCAGTGCAGCGAAGGTCCATGGCGATCGCCTAGGACCAGGTGGCGATGAGCGAAAAAGGGGAGCCACCTCCGACGACCGCTTCTTCTTCGAATCTGCTTACGGGATAGGTCGGGCATCCCCGCGAGAAGAGGCCCTCGCCCCTGCGCCCGTCGCCCGCGCCAACTGGTCGCCACCTCTGACGCCGCTGTCGTCGCCGCGCCCTGCCTGCGGGCAAGCTCGCGAGATGGCGTCGGTCCAAATGCGATGCGGTCCATACTCTCTTGTTCTGGAACGCTGTCAGCTTGGTCTCTTATAGCTTCACCCGCGTTTTCTTCGCGCCACCACGTGCTCCTGTCTGGCATCGACAAAGGCATCCAGCTCGGTCTGCGCCTCGCGCGGCCTCATCCTCAACGTCGTCGTCGCGCATGAGCACCACGCCCTGCGCGGGCTCCTCCTCGACGACGAGCGCATAGTTGACCGATCTGCGCAAAGCCATCAACTTGGGCGTCGTCGAGGTTCGAGGCCGACTTCCTGCGCCCGAGCCCGGCGCGCGACTGGCAGCCGAATCGCGCCTCGCCACGCCGACCAAGTCGCGTGCCCACGGGCGCCCGAACACTGAATTGCCGCGCAGCTCGGCCTCCACCCACGCTGCAACCGCTTGGAATTTAGCACGCAATCCCTCACGCACCCGCTGGGATGCCGTAGTGGGCGGCGCCGTCAGACGGATTGCGCTGCCGCGCGTGCGCAATCGCTGGTTGCACCGACCAGGTGTCCGCAATGTCTATGCGCTCCCTGCCGTCGTTTATTCCACTACAAAGACATGAAACTGTTCCGAGAACGTGACGGAAGCGCCCCCCGACTCTCGGGCGCCCGCGCGCCCGGGCAGGACGCGCCCGACCGCCGGTCTGAGCGCAGGTCGCTCGCCCTCTGACCCGCGCCCGCCAGAGATCTGCCAGAAGGCGCCGCCCCAGTTGCGAATGCGACAGCTCCGCCAGCAAATCCTCCAGACAGATACGTCGAACTGATTTTCAGAACTCCCAACTGCAGCGCGCCGTCGCGCGCGAAGCGATATGCGAACTCAGCTCTGACACCGCCGTTCGCCCCGAATCGCAGCTCTCGCGTTGGCCCTGGCCCCGCGCCGCATGCGACGCGGACGGCCCGTGCGCCGTTCTTGGAAAGTCGCTACTCTGTTGCGGGCGCGCGTCGCGCCCCCCGCGAGCGCGGGCCGGCGGCCCGCGGCGGACGCGCCTCGCGCCGCCGGCAAACGCGGGGGGGGGGGGGGGCGACGCGCGCGCGAGCCGCGCTGCGGTCGCAACGGAGGCGCGCGCGATGCAATCGGAGCGGGCGCGCGCCTCACCAGCGCGCGCGCCAAATCCCGCCGCGCGCCATGCGCGAGCGCGAAGGCACCAGCGCGCGCGGGGAATCCCATCGCGGACGCGAGCCTCCTAGGCGCGCGGAACGCGCGACGACGCACCGCCCGGTCAAATCGCGCGACGAAGTCGCTCCGCGATCGGTACCCCTATGAATTCACAATGCGAGCGGCGCTTCTATCTGTTTGCTGCGCGCCCGTTCAAAAACACGCGCCCGACGCCACTTCGGACTACGTCACGGCTCTGCGCCGCCGTCGTCGCCCACCCCCGCGTTTAAAGGTTGGCAATGTGTCGCGTCGTTTGAATGCGTCGCCGGAATATGTTTCAAACGTCGGATTGGTTGTCGTCGGCCCTTTCTGTTGTCGTCGACCCCGTCTTGCCTGTCGCCTGCTCTTGTCGGCGCCCTTCGCGTCTGGATTCCGCATGCCCCCCCGCGCCTCGTTCCCCTCGCAGCGCGCGCCTCTGCCGCGCGGGAATTGCACTGCCGCGGCTCCCCGCGCCGCAGCCTCTGGATTTTTAACTTTAGCTCCTGTTTCTGCAAGCTCCTCGGACTCGTCGCCCATTGCATCCCTGGTCATCGCGCGCTCGACAGCATGGCGCTCGTCGCACGCGCCGAGCGGCCCCCGTCCACGATCGCAACTCATCACGGTGCTCGTCAAGGCTGCTAGCCCCCACCTGCCTCTTGCACTGGAACGCTGTCGCGAGCTTTGCCAGCGCCTTCTGGGCCACTCACCCTGAACGCTTCTTCTGCATGTGATGTTCGAGCAAGCCCTGCCTCATTTTTTTGCGCTGCCACTCTCTGATCCTCCACGCGCTCGCTGTTATGCCGAAAGCGGTGCTGCTCGAGCGTCATGCGCTGCCGGTGCGTGCCCTGCCTCTCCTTGGCCCTGCTGCCCATGGCATGGATATCCCATCTCGCGCTAGTTCCGCAAAAGAGCTGGTGGCGCGATTATGCTGGCTTGCTCCGTAAGCTTGCAGGCCAGCGACTGTCGCTCCCATTTGTTGTTCAGCCACTCGAGTTTATTGGAACGCGCCTTCAGCTGCGCGCCGCTGCAGTTGCTGCGTAGCCATCACCACCCTCATGTGCTCCTCCAGTTGCAGACGATGTTGCTGTTCCTGCTCCGCCAATCGGTACACTTCTGGCCGGAGCTCTTCCTCGACGTCCCTTTTCCCCGTATGTCGCCCTGATGGCGCAATATTGTGGCCGCCGCCCCCTCCATTCGAACGCCGCTGCCGCCACCGTGCCCAGCTCCGATGTCCTGCGTGACGTTGAGTAGCACCTGGTTCTGCCTCGACGCATGATCCCCGAACCACAGATTGATGCCCTGATCTCGCATTCAACTGCGGGGGCAGGAATAACTGCGTGGGCAGGAACACAAACGACGTTGGTCTCACTTATGGCTGTGCATTGGGGACAACCGCCAGTGGTGGGGGCGGTTTGGGCCAGGGCTCCTCATGAAAATGCCCCCAATTCGTTCGGAAGGGGACCTAAATCAGGAGAGCCAAGAGGATTAGTAGGCGTAGTTTTTTGCATGTGTGTCACACGAATGCGCCCACATGTTGAAGGGTATCCCGACAAACTGGCCCCCCCCAGTTCAATCATGAATTCCTCGTGTCGTTCGGACCACGGGAAGTATCATGCTTAATGGCCTTCGGCGGCGGTGGTGGCTTTGGTGACGTTGGTGGCGGGAGGGATCTCGAAATACTCTTGTCACGTCGTCTGGCCTTTGAAGCCGCAATGCGATCATGCCCGTGCGCACACAAAATCCGCATCCTCAGAAGCATTCGAGGTGTTGTTATGTAGTTCGGTCATGCTGTCTTCCCAATGAATGATGTTGTGGAGTTCGGTGTTTTTGTCCCGCCCTAATTGGGTAAGCGACTGATCGCTCATCTCCACCGCATCGTGCGTTGTGTTGCGAGCGGCCCTCGCCTGCTTGGGGTGGACATGGGGCGGCAAACGCAGCATAATTATGTATTTTGGTACGCTGAGCTCGTTCGTTACTTCGTCGGCAGTAATCGCGAATTTCTGCTGCATGGCTATCACCTCCGCGACTGTCGTGTTCTTGGTCAGTGGTTCCCTCTCGAACAGCCCTCTCGCTTACGAAAATTCGCGGATGTCCTTCCAAGCTGGATCATTCCTGGCGTATGTGCCCGTCGGTCTCATGATTTTGCATCTCATTACTGGTCAGTACCGATGATCGTCGCTGGATTTGAACTTCGAATGGTTCTTCTCGTTCGTGGGCATGATGTACCGCCGCCACGATGTTCAACACAACGACAATTTCGATCGTCATCATTCTGGCCGCGGTTGAAACGGGCTCACGACATCCCTGACTGCATGCTTCCAGTTCTGTGATGAGAGAGAAGCATACTCCCAGCCGTGCGTGCGAAGTGAAATGCGAAACTTTGCCCGCTGCCTGCGAGCACGGCGATGCCAAGTAGGTGATCTTCGCCGCTTCGTCGGCGCCGATCCCCGAGGCCTGCGGCAGTGGGCTGGGCGAAGCGGCAGCCGCGGGCCGTGGCCTGGCTGAGCCTCGACCTCCTGCGGGACTACAAGCGTCGCGCGCCGCGGGCAACCCCCCCGACACACAAAATGACAAGCTTTCTCACCGTTGATGCCCCTCATCGACACATCGACCCTACTCCTCCACCTCCTCCTCCACCTCGTCAATTCCCTCTACCCCTTGTTGTCCCAATACTCTGCCTCCTGGTCATCCCGTTCCTCTGCCTCCTTGTCCTGCTCGCCGCTGCTCTCGCAGGCTCCCGTAACCGCGGCGCTCTCCGGTCCTGTGCTGCGGGGGGTCCCGGGAGCCCCCGCGGCTGGTCCGATCCCCGGTGCTGTTGCGCTCCGAGCGCCTTAGCTGGAACTGCCATCGTCCAGGCCGGTCGCAGGAGACGACGACGACACCGACGACGATGTCGATGTCGACCTGGACGTGGACTTGGACGTCGTCGACCACGCAGGCGATGACGACTTGCGGAGAGGTGTGGCCGTTTCTGGAGGTTCTAGTCGCCAAGGCTGGATGCAGCTCAACCGACTCGCCAGTGTCCAGGCTTGGGGACCGATTTTGAGCGGTGTTGGTCTCTAGCTTCTATTTCTGGGCCTGAACGCTGGAACACGTAACTGGCTGGTGCCTGAGGCAAGGGGTGCGACTGCTTGTTGTCCAAGGTAAACTTCGGAAAGATCTCTGCACAGGATCTACATAGTTGAGGCTAAGGGTCACACAATACCCCAGAGGACAACACTTGTCGACAAACTGCGCTACGAATCGCATGCGTAGCGGAACGACGAGGGGGGCGTCCATGAAGGGGGCGCAAATCATGGCCGGCGGCCTGTGCGCGGCCCAGGGGGGGCCGGGGACAGATTGAGACAAGACGAGGCGCCATGAAAAATGGAGAGACATCACGGCCCCCGCCATGAGATCTCCACCCCTAGTCATCACCCCTCTTGGCCGCCCCCGAATCTTCATCCTAGGCCTGCTTGACCTCCCCAGAGCTCCAATGTCGTGATCTGTCTCGCAGTGCCGGCGACGACCACAGGCGGGTGGCGCGAGGGGTGGGCTTCTGAAAAAGGCGGGGGGTGGGGGCTCTCAGAAACGAGCGGCCTTCTTAAAAAGGGCCTCGCGGGCTCCCAGAAGCCTTCTGGGCAGCCAGGAGCGCTCCCGAGACGCCACCAGCCTGCTTGGAAGACCTCCCCCCGCGCCGTCCCCGCCCCGCTCGCGCCGCCTCCCTGTGGGCGTCGCCAACA